CGCTGACCAGCGTGGCCACGTTCTCAGAAACCCGCACCACTGGGAGAAAAAGAATCGCAGGGATCTGGAAAAATGTGCAGTTAAAATTTGGGGAATTAATAGAAAAAAAATTGAGACGATGGAAGCTATTAGATTCACAAGTTTAGGGCCAAGAACTAATTGATGAGGGGGGGGAGAGGACTTGTTTGTGGCGAACTCCTACTACATATGCGTATTGGTTAGTCGTAAGATGTTAAGGATGGAGCTAAAAGATCTCAGCGATTGTAAGGGTCATAAATAAATAATAAATATTTGATATGTTTGTGGAAAATAAGGAAAAGATCCCATTTTACGAGACAAAAATAAAAAAAATCTGTTCTGGAGAATGGGGAAATATTTCAGAAAATGGGCTATTGGAGATAGATCAGCCTGGATCATCCAGGATTATCTCTTGGAAATAGTTGTGTCTCATAGAACATTTTGAAAGGTCTTGGATACAATATAAACTGTGAAATCATGATTAAGGCACTAGACTCTTAAGAGATGAAATGATTTATTTATAAAACAAGGTATTATTTCTTAAATAACATTACTGCGGAGTTATTTAAATAAACGGTTTTTAATTTGTGAAGCAAATATGGATAACGCTATCTGGTATCGTTGTTTCGTTTTTGCTTAATATTTTCTGTAAATTAAGTGAAATTCTCCTAAAATTTTACTAGGCAAAAATAAAAAAAATGTTTTGGAGAATCGGGAAATATCAGAAATATTTCAGAAAAGGAACGATCCTGGCTAGAACTGTTGAATTGTAATATTTCCGTAGACATCATACGAAAAGTTGTTTTGGGGTATAAAATCGTTGAATTGCACTGTACAGTTCCCCAGTTCTCTACCAGAACGAAGACGTTATCCCTTATGGCCGGCTACGCAAAAACGTTTTCTGCAATGAGTATAATTGCGTTTCCTACCGTCACAGCTTTGCCTCACACTCTTCCCATCTGGCACCATGCCACCATTTTTACACATTTTCTCAAATTTTCGATTCCCTAATACAGGAAATGAAATATGTCTTAAATACTATTGTAAAAGAGTAATACCAATCTCTTTATGTTATTTCCCATTGACATATTTGGCATTCTTCAGACAATATCGTTTGAGTGTTTCTGAAAACGGAAATTTTATAGCTCATTTTCCCAGAAAAGTTTGGAGTTTTCGAGAGACTTTGTGAGGAGTAATTTGAAACAGTTGTACTCTAAAATGTAATAATGCATTAATGCCCAGATTGACTGGAGAATATTAATTTTGGAAATTATCCTACTAATAGATTAGGCACTAGTGTTATTCACTAACTGACTGACAAATTGAGAGACGGACGTAAAAAAACAAACAAACAAAAAAGGAACAAAAAACTCCTTTTCGATAGCGAGAAACTCAAAACGTTCCGTTGAAATCTCGAAATCGATTTACCGCAGCATTACTTGTCATTTTCTATATTACTCATCCACTCCGTGTAAGTTATGTACGTAGACGGTAATAATTTCTATGCGCGCTAATCAATTTATTTAATGATCATTCAGAATTCTAAAAATTAATTTAAACTTCAAGTTTTAGGGATTATAAAATAAAATATAGTTATAAAAACATGGTGTATAAAATATGATTTGAAGCAATAGAATGAATATATAATGTAAAGTTTTTAAATCAATTTTTTGTTTCCGAATGTAGTAATGTATTTGTTGATATGTTTTATATGTAAAGACAAAAATTCTACTTTTTGTGAAAACATCATTAGAGAGATCGTGACATCGGAGAGTTCTAGACAGACGGAGACTAAATCGAAGACGAACCAAACTGCCGCCATCAACGTACCAAAGTTCTGCTGAAATTACGGCCCTGAGTCCTTTTCCGAAACGTTCGCCTCCATCCCCTTTAATGCAAGTAGACTTTTCATCCACATCCAGAGCACTCCATTACGTGACAGGGTATTTCTTCACTTCTTTAAAACCCTTCCCCTACTACCAATACCAAAAGAGAAGTGAAGTTATTATAGCTGGATGCCTACGAAAGGAAAGTAAATTGACGCAATTATGATTTATTCTTTTACTTCTTTCTTCGTAAAAGGGGAAAGAAATTTGTTTTCATTTGAAGCTTAATTTTGTCGAATTGACTCCATTTTGTACAAATGGAGTAAATACATTCAGATTTAAGGATGTGTCTACTTTGCCTTTGAGTAGTAGAATTAATAATTGTCGAATGCGATTTGAAAATAAACTCGATTCTTCGATTCTTTATGTAGTGTAATGTTTAGATTTTTTTCTCTGGTCTGATTCTTTAACTACAATTGGACTTTTGATAAGATTACTTTCTTGATGGCCTGTTTTTGAGGTATTTTGAATCGTAGGGTCCGATGGAAAACGATCCGCCATTGTTCCAGTTTTTGCTCACGCGGCATTTAGAACGCCCATGCACGTGGTAATTCAATTAGTAAACAACACATTCATTCTTTTGAAGAGACGTTGCCACATCGTCGCTCACGAATCATGTAATATTCAAGGGAGAAACTGGGACACCTTCAATCAAGAAAACAATAATCATGATGATCCTATGAGATAAACTTAATTCCATACACCGAGTGAACGAGCCGAGTCACCGTCGATGAAACGGTTTGAAACAAAGGGCACAAGAAATTTAATGAAGCCTCCTCAACCGTGCAATCAAGCTAATGGCTCCATTACGATATAAAATTGATTTCCGGGTTTAATTAAATTTGAACGCGGCGAAGGGAAGGAAGGGTCGCGTGGCCGTTGCAGTCCAGTGGGGCGAGGGGACAGCCGTCGCAGCCGGCGACCGTTATCTCGCCAGGCTCTCCGGCCGGCGGTCCTTTGTTCGAGTCCCGCGGGGCGGAGGGGCCGGTCGTCAAAGGGCTTCTCGATTGGCACGCGGCTGCGACGGGGCGGTGGAGGCAGCGGCGGCCGTGGGGGCGGTGGCGACGCTCGCAGGGGCGGAGGAGGGGTGCAGAAATTCAGTGATGAGGACGGGAGCAGTAGAGGCGATGGAGGAAAAGGAGGCGGGAATGGTGAAGGATGCGGATAGGGAGACTATGGAGGCATTGGTGGCGATAGGTAATGGAGGCGTAGACGGGAAGGAGCGGTGGTGGCGGTCGCGGCGGAAGTTGTGGTGGCGAGAGGTTCGGAGCTGACAGCGAGGGCGGCGGCGATGGCGGTGAGTGTGGAATCTGAGACGATGGAGGAATCGGCGGCGGCGGCGGTCAATGGAGGCCAGGAACTGAGGCAAAACTGAGAAGCTAGCGCAGACGTTTTTCGTAGCAAACCATAAGGGATAAATTCTTGGTTCTGGTAGAGAACACGGGAACTGTACATTGCAATTCAACGATTTTATACCCCGCAGCATGTATTCTTATGATGACTACGGAAATATTACAATTCAACAGTTCTAGCAAGACGATCGTGCCTTTTCTGAAATGTTTCTGATATTTCCCGATTCTCCAGAACTTTTTTTTTGGCTTGGTAAAATTTCAGGATTTCAATTTACAGACAATATTAAACGAAAACGAAACAACGATACCTAACGATAGGATATCTACTAATTTGTCGGTCTCTCTGATTTAACCGTTGAAGACCGCGTTACCAATATTTGCTTCACAAATAAAAACAGTTTGATTAAATACCTCCGCAGTTATGTTATTTAAGAAATAAACCTTGGTTTATAATTAAATTGTTTCATCTTTGAAGAGCGTAGTGCCGTAATCATGATTTCAATGGTAGAATGGAAGCCAGGGGCGGTAGGCGCGAGAATGGTAGCGGCGGTCGCGAAGGAAGCTGTGGTGGCGAGGGTTCGAGAGGAGGCAGTGAGGGCGGCAGCGGTAGGAACTGCGTTGGTGGTGGTTGTGGGTGACGGTGACGATGGAAGTGGAGGGAGTGAGGGCAGCATCGGCTGCGAGAGGAGGGGCGCGGGGGACGTCGGAGCCCCTGTCGGCGTGGGAGGGGGAGCGGCGGCGGCTCGGAGCGCCCTCTGGGAGCGAGCGGCGGCTCAAAGGGGGCGTGGCCGGCGCAGGGCGCGTGGACAGCCGATGACGGCGGCGGCGGCGGCAGTGAGGCGCTGGGAGGCGGCGGGCGTGCGTGGCAGGAGAGACCTCGCGGAGTGCGCGACGCGGATGGATGTTGTACAGTGCGTGCAAGGAGTCTGCTAGTGACGTGCGGCGATGTTAACGAGTTCACAAGCTTATTAATTTAGTGCGTAGTAAGTTAAACGACTTCCGTTGGCGTGTAGAAATATGCACTGACTGAGAGGATGACATGCTAGTGGGTGTAATGAAAATAACATCGGAGAAATGGAGCAAACAAATGAAACACACGGGAAATCGTTTCTGCTCGAGGAAATACTTTTGAAGACGCGCAGCGAGCGTACGCTCCGCGGGAATTAGTCTGTGAATTTAAAGAGAGAAACAAAAGGCGACAGGGAATGAAGAGTGATGTAGGGAAACAGTGACTGATTATCGATTTGCGAGGAGGAAGTTGATATTGAAGGTTACCGAGACTTCAAGGGGAGACTAATCGTTGGCGAGAGGGCCCTACTTGAAGGTGTAAAGGGTAAGAAAAATGACGCGGCCAACGTGTATTGTAATCATACACGTGAAGTCGTTATGAGATGTCTACACAATTATGAACGATGATCTTTGTGTGAATAGAAAATTATAATAATGGAGAAAAAGAGTGAACGACATAATTTTACTGTACTGACGGTTCCTCAGATGTAATACCTCAGTGTCATTTGCAAGAATACTTGTTGTGTGAACGTTAAAGTGAGAATAAGATACAGCTTCTTTTATTTCAAATGAAAGCTCTTTTAAACCGTTATTTTCTGTGTGTTTTGTTAAAATAAGGTAAAGAGAAGCAAAATGAAAACTGAAGAGAAGCTTGCAGCAAACGTGGCGGTAGAGTCTGAGAGCGTGTTCATCCCAGTCAGCTGAAGTGGGTGATAAGAGGGTCTTACTGTTGCAGGACGTGGAGATCGGCCAGGCTGGACTGGCGTCCATGGAGACACTGGACGACAAGAGTGCGGCAGACACAGCGGAAGACGGGATGGAGAGCGTCAAATTGGACGTTGATGTGAGTATAACATTAAATAATGTACTGCAGTGGGGTGCAATATCAAAGCAATTGCCTCAATTATGTTTCTAAATTAAATTGCTAAATTAAATAGATATTGACTGATTAGATCAAACAAATTTCTTAAAGATGAAAAATCTAAGCTTTCAGTGTCGGTGAAAACCGATTTCTTCCCGTCTTGGAATAATCAAGTTTTGTTTTAAAAGTTGCTGCAGTTGTTTCCCCTTTAATAGATATTATAAGTTGTATTAGTTACGTCCGTTTATAATTGTGGGTTGTATAAGATAAATTTGAATGAAGACAATATTATATTTGAAAATGGATCTTGTGCGATATGACTAGGAAAGGAAAATGTTAGTCTTCAAACTGAGTGTTCAAACTGAGTGTTCAAATCTTGTTCCACATTTTTGACGTGGGCCGTATGATGTATTTATGTTTCAAATGAATGAAATACATAAGTTTTATCACATTTCCTGATTGCACTCAATTTACTTCCAGAAGCAATACAAGGGACTACCAATTGTATTCGGAATGCAGTTATTTTTAAACAGTTACTCACTTGCCTTATTTGTAGTGTGCATAATTTATTAAGTAATGGAAAGGTATTGCAGAATTGAGTAATAAAAGTAAATAGCTGTTAAATTTTGAATCCATGCGGGGTTATTTGCAAGTTCATCACGTATTAACTTCCAAGTGATTTTATTATTTATACATTAATTATAAATAGTTGAACTCCTGTGTATACACAGCACTACATTATTTTTTAAAAAGGGAAGATACCTTTTTACTGAAAGTGAACATTACGTTTCTGACAAACTGTACTACGATTAGAAGGTCTAATTTTGCACACTACTGAATCAGAAACAACCTATCTTCTGTTGGGTGGTTTTAAGCAAGGGGCGCTGCCCGAATGATGTGCCCGAATGATGTGCCCGAATGATGTGCCCGAATGATGTGCCCGAATGATGTGTCCGAATGATGCGCAATGGTAACGTGTGCTGCAGATTAGTGTGAGTTTCGGAGTTGAATGTGCATCTTGTCCTTTCCCTGAATCATAAAATGTCAACTTTTATTTTCTTTGTATCTTATATATGCTTGATCCAGAGACTGGGGTTTCTTCTCTCCCCAACAGTGTCACACTTACGAGCTTTCGTGGTGAAATCTTAACAATTGTACAGAACCGTCCGCTTTCATTGGCGAAGAATAAAACATAAAATCAGTTCACATTGTATTTTCACCTATGATTATGTATGCAATTCACTCAGGTGTAAAGCAGCATTTCGTCGGAACTCTCCACGTACGACCTTGTGAATCGCAATGACAATCCTGCAAATGATTTTCACCCCTCCGGAAAAGCGTTATGCGAAGCTTTGGTCTGACCGGCGTTGCCCTGATTGGCTGGTGTTCGCGCCACGCCAGAACCCCTTTGATGCCCACGAATGGTGCTGTTAACATTAATAACGCGTTGATTCCATTCCGCAAATTGAATTGTATCAATTGTCACCACGCAGAACTTGCAACTGAGCTACATGGCTGGAAAATTGAATTCCTTTGTATGAGGTATTATCCATGACGTTTAAAAAAGTTATTTGAATCAAATACTGTTAATCTCTTTGTGTCGTGAAATGTTTTATTACTACCTTGACATTATACCTTCACATTTCGATTTGATGCCACAGAGTAAAACCGTGGGATTATACTGAATATATTACAGTTATTGTATTCCCCAAAACTGGGTTTCAGCAGAAGGTGGTTTAAGGCATCAAAAATATATTTTGAGACGGTGTTGTTTCCAGGGAACTTCTAGCGTTTGATAGCTATTGTGTATTTTATTCAGTTAGTATATTTCGTGAAGATCGGAAAGATATCATTAGTATTTTGTTTCTTTGGGATGCCAGAGCGGCACAACCTTCTCTTATAGAACATTGACACGGGATTGGCCGATGGATCCATTGGCCAATTCCGAATTGGGCACAAATTACCAATGGAATTTTCTAGTTGGCACCTCAGAAAATACAAGTGTTGCCAATAATTTTTTATTCCAATATTAGCCGCCAGGGAACCCACCAACAACAGACATCATTGTTCATTAATTGAGACGTTACCCGATTACTCAAAAATGGGTTCTGGAGTCCATTGAACAACTGGCCTTTTACATGCGGCGAATTTGGTGAGTACTGTGGATATTTCTTCAAACAAAATTCACGGATCGAACCCCCTGTGTGGAGGCAGACACGCTTGCCACCTAACAATCTACCAAACAAGTTGCGCATTGCCTTTAAATAATGGCTGGTGGGGGGTTAAGCCTGGTGAACTGTGTGGGATATTCCTCTAGTGCCCGCTGACGGCCGTTTTCTTCACAGGAAAAAGACGGCGAGAAGGCGCAGGAGGCGCTCGGCAAGAACGAGTGGCAAGAGCGCATCCGCTTCGTCATCAAGTACCGCCTCATCATAGGTGAGTGCCCGCCATCTCTCCGTTGAAACCATTTTTAATTTCTCTAGTTGTGTTCCTGGTTTTAAATTGCGACTTCTCATAAAATATGGCACTCAATATGCTATGATAGTCTAATAAGTTATAATACATATTTTTAAATTTTCTGTGTTTCCCATTCCAATTTCCAAATCGTCTTCTATAAACACTGTCGGCTGTAACGGCTGTACGTACAGAAAAGGGCGATTTCAGTATCAGCAGCCTACAAGTCGATACTGCGAACCATTATTATGAGAATGGAAAATATAAGTATGAAAAAATCGGAATTGCCATCAAAGGTGTGATATTTTTATGCCCATTATAATCATTGCCGCATTTGTTCTTTTTTAATCCAATATCCAAAAAGTTACAACAAACAACATGGTGCTGCAAGTAGCAAGAGGTACAATTATTTAATTGCTCTGATGATTCATATACCTCATTCTTTCTCATTGTGAATTTAATGATTAATAAGTTAAAGAACTAGTTGCTGAACTCCTTCATGTACTTGAAATTCCTTTTACTATTCTCTCATGTTCGTCCTTCACGCAAGCAAACAAGTGATTGCTTTATGTTTCGCTCATAATAATTATCTAGAAAGACTGTGAACTTTTACTTACAATTTTCAATATTTCCAATCCTTATATTCCAAAATATAACTATCTTAAGTTATGTTGTATACTTTTTATTTTTTTTTCAAAGAAAAGGTTATGGAATTACAAATAAAGGGTACACCACGATACTGAATTTATTCTTGAAAAACTCTCCCCTTTTTTCCTGCTTGCGAGGCAACATCTTTCATATATAAAGGATTTTTTATCATAATAATTGAAGCACTCAGAATAATAACAGCAGATTCCAACCAAAGGTTATTTCGAAAACAATGACTTTTTTCTGGTTTGGTTCCTGACAAAATTGTGGACAAAATTTTGAAGGTGGAATTTGAGGGTTTTGCCATAATCCAATTCGTTTGATATTTCATCAACTAATCGCAGGAGTTTACCGCCATACTTCTAACTGAAAATGCGAAGTGGGTAGGGAACTGCCATTATTACCCTGAGTGCCTTAATTGTATCACAACCAAGGTGCGTGCTTAGTGACTAAGGAGTGTGTGTGTGTGCGGCAGGGCTGGTGGCGGCGTTCGTGATCCTCGTGATCGCCATCTTCTGGATCGCCTTCTCGGGCTCTCGGGCGTCGCCCGCGCCCACCCGCCCCAAGAACCTCATCGAGGCGGTCACCAACTGCGGCTTCGTCGAAGGGTGAGTGCCCCCTCCGCCCCCGCACTTGCGCCGCTTCTTGCACTTCCGCGGGTTCCCTCGCTCGGATTGCCCGGCGCCGCGGTTTGCTTGCTCCGTCCACGCTGCGCAGAGAATCTGCCTCCGAGGCGGGCCAACCGGCTGACGTGGGGACGGTACTATTTGATGTCACTGCAGTGGCCATGACCGGAAGGTCCTAGAGGTCGAAACCCGAAGGTGAAAGGATTTTCGATACCAGCTGCATAGCTATGTCACGTTCAGCCGCTGCCCGGAGAAGAATTCTAACGGACGGCAGCTCTGATCGGTAGTTTTCCGTGGTTTCTCCAATCAATATCAGGCGAGTGACGGAGGAGTACTCTAACAAACTGGCCACGGACCGCCCGCGCCTCTCCCTTCTCCTTACCACTCACTTACACACACTTACATTAACATGCACTAAACTATCTCACATGCCGGGAGATAGGTCGGGAGCTTAGGGTTTTTCCCGAAAATGGGAGATACCCAGGACCCGCGGCAGCGACTGACGAGCCCTAGGCTCACGGCTAATACTATATATAACATTAATGTTACTTCAGTTCATTATATATTCCACATAGGGCAATCTAGGTCAGGCACTGATGCACATCAATAACGGTAGAAACAAGATTCTTATGTTTACGTGTTGCAATTCTAACACAATATCCAATTTTGTATACATATTATATATATTTTTACGATAATTGAAAAAATCAAAGTATTCAAATTTTCTTAAAATTCTTTAATAAATCTAAAAAAAGATGTACTATGATTCTTTTTTAAATCCGCATGATTTTATCTTACATATGGTATTTCGTCCTTATGACCACATGTGCTTATGTGAAAAGGTGGTTAGATGCTCTTAGCCTAACAACTTCGGCCTAGACTTGTGTACTGAATTGTTAAAAGCGCGCGGCAGCGACTGCAATCACAGGTTGCTGAGATTTTTACCTTCATCTGTGAAGGGTTTCTGTGATGTGCTTTTCGTGATCATTAATGCCAAGTTCCGAAGAAAATATTAGTTGTCAGGGATGTTTAGCACTTCGGAGACAATGCTTCAGTGATTGTTCGTTGGCCATTCAAATCACAAATTTCTTTCCCATTGTTTCTAAAGATGCAAAAAATGTAGGTGCACTGCAAATACATTTAAATTTTAGTTCGTCAGTCAAATTTGTTTTTAAAGTAAATTTATTACACACGCATAAAATATTTTAGCCAACTACTCATCCCATTAAGGCAAGGGCCTCCTGCTCGCGCAGGGAATATTAATCCTTTAATGAAATAATAATGATGAAGGGTGAAGGGACGATCACAAATACATCCATGCCCGAGGCAGGATTCGAACCCGCGATCCTTCGATCCGAGATCCCACCTGCCAGATCTCGGTTACACGGATCGCAATAAGCTCTCAAAATTGGTTTGCAAAAATGCTTTCTAAGCAAAAATTTTCATTGCATAATCATAGAAGAACTGTAGAAAACATGTCAATTGTTTATTATTTACAAAAGAAATCGATATATTTGTTCAGAAAGAAAAAAAATAACACAGAAAAAGAACATCCAATTTACACAATTCGACATCTGTTATTTATAGGTTAATTTTTCTTTCTGAAAAAACTTGTTCATGTAAATAATAAACAATTTACATCTTTCTGGAATGTTTCTTCTGCTTCTGAAATGAAAATTTTTGCCTAGAAAGCAGTTTTTCAAACCAACGTTCGAGTGCTTATAGCGGCCCAGGCATTCGGAATATCCAAGTATTTTATTAGAACAAATATGCTTAAAATTGTTTTAAGAGCTTATTTTTGAAGTTTCCTCCCGGACACCTCTATATATGAATGTAATTGTATATTGTGTGTATTTTTAAACGTTTTATAGATAAGATTCTACTTGATATTACGCATTCTTTTTCCGATTTCAAAATACACTCCTACTCGGCCCGCCAATCCGGTGCCCGCTCTAGGGGACACACCCCTTCGGTCGACCTATGACGGGCCTCCATCTCCATCCATTTTAGAATTTCTCCCTCTCTCTATTGCCACCTTTCCTGTGATCCCAACTTTCGTCTCTGCTTCTTATTGGTCGGCTACTTGACCAATCCCGCCCTTCCCTTCTCCTCCATGTAAGGCCAGCGCGCTAGATATCTGGCAGCAGTACGCTATGAAGAAGGCCACAATACGCAGGCCGAAACGTTAGCTACCATGACATTGACGCGGCTCGTCCCGGATAGCCTAGACAACATACACTCCTTCTCCTCTTATTACGTACTTATGAACACATTTCCCCCACACTCACCATAGCGGGCGAGAACGTTGCGTACAGGGTGTGCGAGTGCAAGAGTGAGCGTGTGGCTGCGTGTGTTGCAGGGTGCGCGAGCAGGGCGCGTACGCCTTCCGGGGCATCCCGTACGCGGCGCCGCCCGTGGGCGAGAACCGCTGGCGGCCCGCGCGGCCCGTGCAGAGCCTGGACGACTGCTGGAACGGCACGCTGCAGGCGCACAACGCCACGCCCGCCTGCTGGCAGCTGCAGCCGGACGGCGGCTGGGACGGCGACGAGGACTGCCTCACGCTCGACGTCTTCACGCCGCACGTCGACTACGGCAAGCCCCTGCCCGTGGTCAGTCGCCAATACAGCACTGCTAAATAATAATAATATAAATAATAATAATAATAGCAATACTACTACTACTAATGATGATAATAATAATAATAATAATAATAATAATAATAATAATAATAATAATAATGATAATAATAATAACAACAACGCGTCACCTAAAGAAAATGAGATTTCTGTATTTTCCAATCCAATCTGCTCTCAAACATTCTAAACAATTATTAGTAGAAATTGGTAATCATATGTGTATTGAGGATTATATGTTGTTTCTGATTTCATTACCTTCATAACTCGCTCGATTTTTGCAAATAAAGTGGTGTGATTTAGGATTATGTTGCAGATTGCAACTGAGAGAAAGATGATGCGTTTTTTTTAGTACTACAGTAGGCATCTACAGGCACGATAAAATTCGCATATAATAATCTTAAAGCTTTCAAATGGTTAAGTAAACTAAAATATTGCATTTTCCATTGAAGGAAGAAAATACAGCATTGCTAAAAAAACTGCATCACTTAACATTTTAAACAATTATTAGTAGAAATGGGTAATAATATATTTCATGTGGATTGTATGATGTTTCTGATTCCATTACCTTCATAACACGCTCGATTTTGGAAAATCAAGCGATGTATTTTTAGGATTATATTGCAGATTACAACTGTGAGAAACCTGATGGGTGTTTTTTAGCTCTATTGTACATCGACCATCGGAATTTTAAAGCTGGTTTAGTAACCTCTTAACATTAAAATCGTGTGCAAGAAAATTTAATTGGTCGGTGATCGAGTTTCGTAATATAAATTAACGATTTAATTGAAAAAAATGTTAAAAAATTATAGCAATGAATCATTTACAGCGGTGCCACATGGAGAGCTTCTCCAAATGTTGAGTATCTAATCAGTAGTTGTTCATAGTTACGGAAATAAAAAGTTATTACATAAGGCTATCAGTTCGTTTTCAAAATTTTCCCGGGTTCCACGCCCTTCCTGGCCTCTCTCTCTGCGCACGTAATTTAGCGGCCAATTTCACCAGCTTCCTCCACACTAAAAAAAATATATTCTTGTTCAGAGAGAGAAAAAACAGTATTAAAAAAAATACCCAATTTACACAAATCGACTGCTTGTCTATGCATTAAGTTCTCTTTGTGAACAATAATAACCAATAATAACCAATTTATATGTTTCTGGAGTACTTACATGCTTTTGGAATCTCAAATTTTTGCCTAGAAAGCGTTTTTTCAAACCACCTTTCGAGTACTTATTGCGGCCCAACCATTCGGAATATCCAAGTAATTTATTAGACAAAGTAAGCTTAAAATCGTCTTAAGAGTTCATTTTCGAAGTTTTGACGTTTCCTCCCTGGCCACTCTGTAGGCGTTTTGCTTTCCTTTTACAAAATTGTCTGGATTTGTTATGAAAAGATTGGGTCCAGGAGACGTGCCTAACCGCGCGCGCGGCGCAGGTGGTGATGGTGGGCGCGGAGACGCTGCTGGGCGGGTCGCCGGGCGCGCTGGTGCCGGTGGCGAAGCTGGCTCGCGACCGCGAGATCGTGTTCGTGCGGCCCAACTTCCGGCTGGGCGTGCTGGGCTTCCTGGCGCACGACGCGCTCACCAAGACCACCTACCCGTACACCTCTGGCAACTACGGGCTGTCGGACGTGCTGGCGGCGCTCACCTGGGTCAAGCTCAACATCGTCAACTTCGGCGGCGACCCCAAGGCCGTGACGGTGCTGGGCCACCGCGCGGGCGCCACGCTCGTCTCGGCGCTGCTGCCGTCGCGCGCCGCGCAGAAGGAGCCGCTCTTCCAGCGCGTCTGGCTCACCAGCGGCGCCGCCACCTTCCCCGGTGAGCCCGCGCACTAGCTCACTCACTCACCTCGTTCAGTCACTGCTCTAACATTATTCACTCACCCACTCATCTCATTTACGTACATGGTTCAAGCAGCTCACCCATCTCATTCACTTCGCTCACCCCACATACTCACTCACCCTCCTTATTCATTAACTTCTCTCACACACATTTTTCACTAACCTAATTCACCCACCCACTCACCTCATTTACTTGCGTAGTTCGCTCATCTCACCCATCTCACGCACCTCACATACTCACTCACTCACCTCACTCACACATATTATTCACTCACCACCTCTCACAAAACTCACCAATTGACTCAACTCATATAGTTCATATCTGGTTCATACCACTCACCTCATACACCTGGTTCACTCACCTATCATACTCGCTCACTCAGTCACTCTCTCTCCTCATTCATTCACTTAACTCACACATTATTCACTCTCCACCTCTCATTTAACTTAACCACCCACTCGCCTCATTTACGTACATGGTTCACTCAGCTCACCCATCTCATTCACTTTGCTCACCCCACATATTCACTCACTCTCCTTATTCATTAAATTCTCTCACACACATTTTTTACTCATTACCTCGCAACCAACTGTTCCACCCACTCACCTCATTTCCTTACATCGTTCACTCACCCATCTTACTCACTTCGCTCACCTCTCACACACACTCACTCTCCTCATTCATTTACTTCACTCACACACCCTATTCACTCACCACCTCTCATGTAACTTAACCACCCACTCGACTCATTTACTTACCTTGTTCACTCCCGTTATTCATCGTATTCACCTCACTTCATTCACTCACTCATTCACTTACCTCAATCACTTACTGGCTCGCCTCACTCACTTCACTACCCTCAATCAATTCACTTGACTCGTTTCATTCGACTCACGCACCTCTCTCCTTCACTCACTGGTTCACTCACCCTTGCACTCTCAGCCAATCATCCACTCACTCACTCACTTTCTCTTCTCCCATCACTATCATCTCATCTCATGCATCCACCCACTCTCTCATTCTTCCATTTTTTCATTCATCCCCTCACTCTCCTATTCAACCATTCTTACTTACCCTCCCATTCATTCACTCTCTCTCTTCAATGGAGGGAGGTAGCATTTCTACTGCATTTCTGCTGCCGCTTCAACAGCGCTTTTACGTCTATCTAATATCTTTATATACTTCGATTTTTATAAAGTGGCGCGACAAGGTCCGTCTTTACGATGGAATATCTCACGGCATTTCGCATCTTTCTTGGTCGTATCGCTGGATGTCGCATGATCGCGACCGTATCAAACAAATGCGGTGATATATTCCATCGTGAAGAAGACAGGCCTTGACGCGCCACGTAATAAAAACCGAAGTATAACGCCCTGATTGGTATTATAAAAGTCTTGTACTTAGTACCAAATGCACTAATGATTGCTGTCACACAAAAAGAGCGGCAATGTATGAAACTAAAAAGGTAGTAATTAACAAGAAAATCATAAATTATACAAATAACTGATGTAGATGTAAAGTATAGACATTCAATTACTGTAGAACAGGACATTATTTGTGATTACGTATACATTTATACGTACACTTATACACTACACATCAAACATTTTCAGTGCCTTTAAATTCACATAAACTACGTTGCTATAGGTGCTTTACATAATTGTGATAGAAAATAATTTAGTATAAAGATAAAAGTGTTAAATCATAGTCAGTCATATCATAATCATAATTATAAGAACCTATAAATACCACTGTATATTTCACTTTATCAAGTGTATTATACAATATTTTGAAACAAGATAGTGTATTGGCCACACAGATTACTAATCGTTGAAAGCAAACTTAGTTTCCTATGCTCATGTGACTAATGTCAGCGAACCCGTATGACATGTGCGTTTAACGGGTTGCATATGTCAGGGGAACCTCCAGAAAAAAAAGTATACATGATTCTAATCTTATTTATGTTTGACAGATATCTCTGACGAGAATACTTCGCAATGCTGTACTGTCTTTTGACACGTCCTCATTAATATTATAGTGAATTTCATATTTTGACTTTTACATTACACCCATAGTATTAATATAAAATTTCTGTTGAATCAAGCAATCAAAGTAGAGAAGCATTAGTTAGATCATTAGTTAGATGCATTAGAGACAGCATTAATAGATGGTATTCCGATTATTATTTGCTTTATACTAATAATTACCATAATATAATTAAGACATAGGTTTTAATACTCATTGTTTGAAATGTGTGTATATAATGATGTGTGATATTTATAGGGTATCTTGTTTATAAATTTAAAATACCTTACAATGTTAGCCTTGGCCCTACTAAGGGATGTGAACAGGCTAATAATAATAATAATAATAATAATAATAATAATAATAATAATAATAATAATAATAATAATAATATGAAGTGTAAATGCTTGTGTATAGGGAATAATAATGTTTGCAAGCAGGAATTTTTTGCTGCCTTTTCCAGGCAATCTCATTTGATGGAATCGGTCTCTGGAATGGGAAGTCCAAGGAGGGTTCACAGGAGTCTGGTGTCCTCAGCTCTGTGTTATTCTACTTAGCCCCACTGTCCCTTGTGGCATAGATGGAGTTAATGAGTAAGGGCAGAATAGTCATATTTTGTCCCTTCTAAATTGCCAAGCTTCACCTCTCTGAAAAATTATTGCATCCACTTCAAAGATGATGCAGTGATGCAACAAAACTAGTTGAAATATTTTTATTGGCAGTTGGCGAGAGCACTTGTATGTATCCCTTTGTCATAAAACTAACATTGAAACTAATACTTTTAATGACACCATTGGTTTACGTTAAATATTGATGAACATTATTATGTTTCATTTGCGAAGAATTATATCTGTTCATTGAAGATGAATGGAAAAAGTAGTGTTGTTCAAACATTTATGTGGTTCCATTCATGGTAAATCTTTTTGAGCTAGAACGCGTTCCGACACTAATGGGTATTTAACCATTTATCATTAATTTTATCAATGTATTTCGAACATATTTTCATTAACATTTTCTTAAGTTTAAACCTACATTTTGATTACATTTTGGATCTTTTATTCATTTAATTCAGGTAACATTTCCTTACAGTAACAAAGTAAGATGGACGTTATTGTTAAAGTACGTTTAATTCTGAAAACACAAATAATATACAAAATAAGTTTTTATTATTCTTATGACTAAATAAAGTGAAGTTAACAATAAAAGTCTCGTATTTAAAACACAAACTCTTACACTGCCTCAATGTAACTGTGTCGTAGTTAATTCCGCGTGAAGTGAGTTCGTGATTCCGCGTGAAGACTCCAGAGGTAAAGCAAAATGAATTGGCCATGCTCTGTCGGGGAGCATGGCCTTTGATTTGACGTGAAACTTACGGCAGTTAGTCCCTTTTAGCGAGAAGGATATAACAATATTATTCTACATTGTGTACAGGACGTATTACATATTATATCTTTGGTTACTGGTCTCAAGGACTTATGCCACTTAGGCGTAATTTCCTTCATTTTATCGAGAAAAACACAAGCTTTAGTTTCTTGTTAGTGGCTTTGGGATCAAAACCGCATTTGCGACTATTCAAATAAGTAGTTAGCGAGTTGTCAGGGCAAGATAATACAGACATATTGTTACGTTACTGTTTTTCTGTTTCCCGTGATTTTCCCCTGTGATTCTACCCCCATTGCGTAGTGGTATTCCCATTGCGTCTCTGAGAGAGCAACGGGGAGCTGTTGGGGCAAGAGGGTAGAGTTGCAAACGTCTCGTGTGGTTTGTGGGTGTGACGTGGGTTGTGCGTGCGTGTGCGGCAGGCAAGCCGCTGATGGACTCGTCGAGCGCCAACCGGCGCTTCGTGAACAACGTGGCGGCGTGCAGCGAGGTGCAGGAGGACGACGAGCGCCTGGCCGCGTGCCTGCGCGCACTCGACGCCCCCGCGCTGCTGGCGGCGCTGCCCGACGCGTGGCGGCCGCAGCCGGCCGAGCTACCGCTGCCCGGCCAGGCCCCGCCGCACGAGTGGCTCGTGCTGGACGGCGTGCTGCTGCAGCGGCACCCCTTCGAGGACTTCCACAACACCACGCTGCCCTTCCAGATCGTCATCGGTAAGGAAACAACCACAAATGCGCCAAAAATATTTAATGTCTCTCTGTCCTTCCAGATTGTCATAGTTAAAGGACACAAATGTACTAAAGAATCTTTATTGTAACGTTGCTCTACTAGATCGTCATCGGCAAGGAACTACAAATGCACCAAAAATATTTAATGTCTCGCTGCACTTCCAGATTGTCATAAAGAACACAAAGGTACTAAAGAATCTTTATTGTAACGTTGCTCTACCAGATCGTCATCGGTAAAGAAACAACCACAAATGCACCAAAGAATCTTTAATGTCTCGCTGCTCTTCCAGATTGTCATCGTTAAAGAACACAAACGCACTAAAAAAATCTTTAATGTAACGTTGCTCTACCAGATCGTCATCGGTAAGGAACCAACCAGAAATGCGCCACAAAATCTTTAATGTCACGCTACCCTCCCAGATCGTCTTCGGTAAGGAACCACAAATGCGCCAAAAAATCTTTATGGTCACGCTGCCCTCCAAGATTGTCATCGTTAAGGAACACAAATGCACTAAAAATATATTTTTTAATTTCACGCTGCCCTACCACATCGGCATCAGTAAAGAAAGATAAATGCACCAAAAAATCTTTATTGTCACGCTGCTCTATCAGATCGTCATCGTTAAAGAACAAAAATGCACCAAAAATCTTTTATGGCAAAATGTGTCATTGGTAAGGAAAGGTAGCTTTTTTAAATTTTTCAAACATTTTTAAGGTCGCCCTTCAGCATCTTGGTCATAAGCGACCACTGGGATTTTTAAACTGGAAGGTGGAATCATAAAGACAACACTAACCTACACAATCACTCATGCCAAAGGTGGGATTCGAACCCGCGGCCCCCTCGAGCCAAGGCAACTACGGCCCTTCAGCCTCTGCTTTCCAGGCGGAGAAAATACCTTTGTAAGCGCCTAAACAAAAATGAATGAAAAATCCTTATTTGGAAAATATCTTCACCGGTAATGAAACTTTTCTTTGTGAACCCTTAAACCGGATATGAATTACAATCTTCATTGTGGAGACGTTTGCCACCGGAAAGGAAATTCAAATTAGTAAAAACAAACAAACAACAACAATAACAACAAGGTATTCATTCCGTCAGCAGTTTAGTGTGGCATTCACGTTATTTAGCTGGTAATGGGGGTCACATTGAAGACATTCAACTGAAATAGCAAGCATCATAGCCGTATATGATTCAAATATATTCACCCTCAAAGAGTGTATTCATTGTTTTGGACCGCTCTGTCCAGCATTGCAGCCTTTACACGAGAAACAAACAAAAAAAGTAATATCAAAGTATGTCGCCACCGGTAAGGAAACCTAGTTTTGCAGCCACTAAATGAGCAGTGAATAAATAAAAAATTGTAATGAAAAAATACTTGAATATCGTCGTCGGTAAGAAAACTTAGCTCTGGAAGTCCCTAAACGAGAAATAATGCATCAAAGAATTAATGTCAGATTCCTACTTACACCATTCATTTTATAGGGACTGTATGTAGGGGAACATATTTCATTAGGACAGTGATTTATAGGCATTTCCATAATTTTTCTGTTTACTAAAACATCCCGTTCAACAAATTGTATACGTTTTGAGGCATTTATAATCAATTTAAGCTATTTTCATTTCGCATATATAATTACATATTTTTGCATATATGGGCCATATTTGCGAATTTTTGTTGCATAATCACCCCTCATTCGCAAAAAAAGTCCATCAGTTACAGTTCCGTCACCGTGTAAGCGGCTCTGATAGTTCTCTAGCCACGTGCTGGGGCTACGTGCTACATCATGCGATCTGCTGTGAAGCAATGGACTCCCGAGCATTTGTTTACGTTGCCATGGCCACGGATCAGCGATACCTTTCGCCCGACTCGTACGAAGTCCCTCGAGAAGTACGCTAAGACCGCAGTATCAGTCGAAATGAAATGTGCATCCGCCGAGAGCCTATGCGTACCCCCACACAGCGCAAGCGTGGAGTGGTGTTAAAAGAGTCAGGCGCGTGAATTTACGACACAGACTATCTGGAAATGCTTCACACTTTTTATTTATTTTTACACTTACACATTACATTACACTATTTCGCTTATTTTCCTTTTTTAATTGCATATATTAATAAAAAAATTGACATATATGTGCATATTTATCTTTTTTATTGAATATAAATCACAGCCTTAGTCATCATTCGTACAGAGAATGATCATTGAAACTGTATTCGTAATCGACAAATCGAATTTTGTAAAAACCCGCCTTATCAGATATTCACATTTTGACACTCTTAAACATTTCTCTTTAAGCAGCGTCTGACACTATCAACTGTAATTAGACAATTGGCTACATACGAGCGCATTAAAGTAATACTTGCATGCCTCTACAATCTCCAAAAGGAACTCATTAATGTACTTCTCACAAAACATGGTTTTAGGGACAAACATTTTCAAATCAAATGTCTTAGTGCACGACAATATTGTTGTCTGCCACAATTTAAAACTCTGAAAACAATCTCTTTAAAATTTGTGCAAAATATCTTATATCTCTCCTAATGATTTATACCTTACGTTGACTCCAACGACTCTTATATCTCTCACAACGACTGCCAACAACAAATTGATGAATAATCAACAATTTTGAACCTTCATTTTTGCTTCCAATGTATCTTATAAAATATATTTTTTAAATAATTTGTTGAATGATCTCTTGAATCATCTATGCTTAAAATTTGGGTGTAAAAGGGGTATTTATAAAGTATGAAAGATAACTTAAATCAATGGGTATCCCCTCAGAATGTTTTTAAAACCATATATGTATCTAAGAGAACGTCAACTAGCCATTCCTATTTTACACTAAAACTAATGAAACATTTAAAACATTTGGTAAAGAACTAAGTTATTTGAAGTTCTGTCAAAAAATCAAAAGTAAAAAGTCATAATTTTGCTTATTATATATTGATGAAAGAGGATTCATATTCGGCGAGAAACAAATGACAGAGGATTTGTTAGCACCAACATTTCATTCATGATATAATTGAGAAGTATCCTGTGCTTGTTATCTCGAAGTTAGAGCGTAAACACATCTGTGAAAGGTCAACTCTGTCAGATGTGTTGGAGAAACTGTAAAAGAAATTTGACATATCCCTCAAGAGAGCTGGTGTTTACAAGTTATCTTTAGCTCAAGGCTCTCGGTTATTTTGAAGGCTGACAGATGTTTTCTTAAATTGGTTGAATCACCATCCGCATATATTGAAGAATATACAATCATTCAAAATTATGAAGATGAGTAGTGACCATACCGATTGATAAATTTTATGTTTAATCACATTTCATGTATATTTTAACCATGAGTCACATTGATGTAGTACAAGGGCGCACTCATAATGCAATTTATCATATTAAAGACTTCATTGATTATGTTAATTACATATTTGAAATAATCTAGTGCGTAAAATGTTACAAAAATGTAATAAAGTATTTGACCGGTCTAATCAAATTCACAAGAAACAATCAATAACCGATGTTTCCAAAACAACTTAAATGAAAAACTTTTATTCCCTAGCTTCAGGAATATCAGAATATAAGAAACCGGTTGTGAGAACACAATCTATATCGTGGTACCATTATTATAAATTTGTACAGTTGCAACGACCGTCAAAATATTGGGAACAGTAGCTCCAGTAAATTATCCTAGGACTATTCAGAATTCATTTCGATGTCTCCTACCAGTTGATTAAATTAAGTTGACATTGATAAAAACCACCAATAAGTGATAAGTCTATTGGCGTGAATGTTTTTCAAACTTCATACCCAGATTAAATAGGTAAATAAAAGATGTTGTCCGGTATCAAAAAAAATATTATGCTAAGTATCTTTTCAATCGCGTAGCGATCACCCTCAGATCTTGCAGAGTCCGAGCCGAAAACTGCAAGCACTGATCGAAAAGGTCTTTGGCATAATCTATTTTTGATACCAGACACCATCTTTTATTTACCTTATTGAATTGTTAGAAGGCATCTACCTCACCAGCGATCTAATTAATTCATTCTCAGACCATCTCACCACAAAATGGGATTGTTTCTTCCTTCGGTTGATTTTCCTAATGTGACCCTTCCGTTTCTCTTTTATTCGCGCAGCATCTCTACCGCCCTCCACGATCAGCCGGCGTCCAAAGCCTCTCGAGATGCCCCAATATTGATCTTCCCCGACCACGATGCCTCCATTTACAGCGAATCACTCCCGTCGGCGTTTCCCTCTCTCTGCCCCCGCGTCATAAATTTTGGGAGGAACTTCTGGACCCTTATATCACTTTCTCTGAAATGGGTTACTTATATGTTTTTTTTTATTACCTCGCACTCCCCCTTTTTCCTATATTACTGCAATAAACTATTTGTCTAAAACTTCATTCTTTCGTGACTTAGCGTAGATATCGTGACAGATGTTTCTACTCACCGCAAATTATTTTTTTTCGGTTATCTGGGATATTATGAACATCATATAGTATCTTAATACACGGAAGAATGAATGTCTCGCTAATCTTGAAAGTTTTTCAACTTACTTTTTTAAGACGGTTTTAGTGTCCTTAGAGAAAATGAAGTAAGAATCAAGAAAATATGTTTCTTTCTTTGTTTCATGACGGGTTGCATATTAATTATAGCAACACAGTTCTCGATTACAAAAACTTCTTCTGTCTCCCCTTTGTTGGTGCAAATTTTTATCAGCTCATTATCTCTTTAAAGCGCAGCGACGTGAATCCACTATCGTATCTCTATGTCTAAACATAATTGAGTTTGTGTTTTCATCACTTACACTGCATCTACATTAGTAAGTCTAAGAAATTCACCGCCCCCTCATTCCGTCGCCCCTTTGGACGCGATCAAGGCGGTTAGGGCTATAGGCTTACTTGCACCTAAACATTAGTTCGTGTCGAGGGAACTGACGAAGACGACGTTTAAGGGGGGCGCATAGTTGTTCAGAGATCTAACGTTTCAGGTCAAAATT